CTTATCAACGCGTGCAGCAAGACTTTACAATCGACACACGCGGATCATTCGTATTTACCGGTCAAGACAGCGAATACTGAATCATTTCACAACGAGAACAAACGACGATAGTACGGACTGTTTACGAATTCTTTCAATCACGATCACCTTCCATTCTGAACAAATCGAAAGAAACGATCCAAATCTACCGGCGTCCGTACATCGACTAACGGCGATCGAGTACCGCCATGTTATCCCCCCTCGTGATTGCGAGCAACACGGTCGCGCGTGCGCAAATGCACGATTCTCATGCACGCGCCTCGACATTACGACAATCTCGATAACAAAAGCCGCGGCACGTGCATCCCCACTTCGAATGGGATCTCCCGAAAGGTTCCGCGGGAAAGCAAAGCAGGACGCGCGCGTGCTTCATAGAATTTCGTCGTTTCACGCGGCTTCGAGGTGTCAAAACATAAGCTCTCCGCTTCGGAGCGGATACCGAAATAAAGGAAGGTATACTGGGTATGGCCGGCTTCATAACCTATAGATGTGCGAAGGAATCCAGAAATGGACAATTAATCTTGGCTAAAATTGTAGGAAAACTACTTCCTCTTCGGTTTCAATGATTTCTGAATATGTTGTAGCATTTTAAACAACTTTCTCCTGTACATACAGGCAATTGGGCATATTCGAGATATTGGCCATATTCGCAAGAACTATCGATACTAGTGCATTAAATCTTGCCTATCTGTAAGAGTCGCAAGCATAGTCGATACTTAAATCGCCAAATTTCAACGTCATTTATATTACAATATCGATGATACCGACCTTAACTCATCGTCGTCGCATGACACACTCATTATAAACAAAAGGTAAGGATTTGGTTTCAGAATTAGGTTATTATGTCGGCTGTCTTATAAAGATGTCGCGTTTCCTCCGCTGAAGGATTTTGATCATTCTTGACTGGACAATGGGCGTTTTACACCCAGTAAGAATCAATTTAATATTCTCTTGTTTAATCAAACATATTAAACAATGTATCGCATTGCTAGCGTATTTTGTTCTCTATGTGTGATACGAGATACGACAAAGTTTCGCCAAGCATGTCAGAACGTGTTAGACCACTTATTTAATTGTATTAAATACACGCACAGTTTCTATTTGGACGGAGAAAACTCGACATGCTACACGTGGCGTGTAAAACGCCTGTGTAACCCTGGCCTAATACTAACACACACTAACACATGCAGATGCACTACAATTGTAGACAGAATTCACTATAGTCATACCGAACAGCTTTTTACGAATATCTCGGAAACTCAGCCCGGCCGCCGGTTATATATACAAAGAAAAATCATTAAAAATATTAATTTCTAATAACATATTTAAAAACCATCGAAATCGTTCTTCCACAGGTACGTCTTAATCTTGATATCGAAATTAATTTTGATAGTAGAAAAATAAACTTATACTTTTAGAAATATTCATCTTAGAAAGAGACATTCAATTTCTAGAATTTTATCATCTTCAATGTATCAATTTCAACAACTCGAAGCACGCAATTAATATTTCATTTTATTAATATTGTTGAAATTATAGTTCGTACCTATAGTATTTGTTATAAGTTACTATATCTAGGAGTAAATACTCTTACATATACATTCAAGAGAGGAAAAAAAGAAGAAAGAAGAGAGGAAAAGAATATATCTAATAATACATTCTATGACGTACGTATAGACTTAACAATATATAAATATGATAGATATATATTTCTACCATTCTAGTATGTTGTAATAACCGTTCCCCTTGATCCCACAAGTCTTTACAAACCTAGATGATTTCTAAATCAAGTGCGAAATCTATGTCAACGCAACCGGCGGATTAAAATTTCTTCAACTACACGTGGTCTTTGTTACGAGCATATCGATTCAGTAACTTTGATAACATATCATCAGTTTGTGGAATCGCATATTATCACCGTGATGTATTTTCTTCCACATTGGATAATCAGCTATCGACACATTCTCTGATTATTTTTGAAATGATAATCGTTAATATTCAATTAACTGAACTAGGTAATTTAGCTATCCTAAAAGAGAAGAAAAAAAGAAAGTAAATTAATTATTTATGATATTACTGAATTGCACTCATTTATTTTTTTTCTACTATAATAAAATATATAATTGAATGTTCATTTTTATTAAAGATTATCTTGCTTCAATAATCTGTCATTAGAAGTGATTTGTTTTCTATTAGGAATTACGTATCTGTCGCAACATGTCGAGAATAGGATAGATCTCGTATCTTAGATATTCTTAGAAATGTTATTAAGCCGCTTTATTATTCTTGCAATAGAATTTAAAACCACACGTGTTCGTTTTGAAGTATTTGGCGTGCGTCTAATGTAGTCAAATGGCGTCACGGCATATTTTTCCATGACTGACGCTGCCAATAGTTCATAAGAAAGATCTCGTATGTCGTGAAAAGAACTAAAGGTAGAAATTAAAATATCAGTTCTGTCTTGCTCTTCTTCATTTCTCTTCCATTTTATCTATCTTTCTTTTTTTCTCATTTTTTACAGATGACATTTTAAAAACATCGGTATATTGCGTAATAAGAATTTCAATATTTATTTAAATGACCAAAGTTCTATGATATCGTGTGGCCAAAGATACATAGTACGAAAACTCTTCGACGAGCCAGTTTTCTTTTAATTATAATATCTGCATCGTATACACCGCTTTTAGCTGTACTTCGAATATCGAATCCTTTCTTTGATTGATACTTTCGCTTTATTTTCCAAATGTATGATTCATTTCATGCTAGAAATAATATTAATATAATATTTAAGTAAGTATATACTTTTAACGTCTAATAAATATGTAGTTGCCAAAATAAATACAAACATTAATAATATCGCTTTATAAAACTCCAGACTCTGTGTGATGAGACTCCAGACTCCAAACTCTCTTTTTATGTAGTAAGTATTTCTGTATCTTCCAGGAAAGCGAGAAATAGGGCTCGCAATAATAATTCGATAGTGCGTACAAAGAGACATGTTTGAGAATGAAAAAAGAATGTCAATGTATCGTGATTATAAGGAGAAAGATGGATAGAACAGGTCAGAGAAAGAAAGGGAAGGAAGTTGCACGTGTAACCAACTTCCCCACTCTCGTTCGGTTTCTCGACTGAAAGGAGTGTCCTTCAGCAATGTTCCCATCTTCCCATCCCTTTTGGTCCTCCGACCTTTTTCAACCATCACAATGTTACCTCCTTCCCTCCTTCGGTTGCGGATCTGCAACCAATCAGGGTCATTTGCAATCTCTCCACGTGGCTTGCACACTTAATCTCGGTGCATACTTACATGTGTACAGTTATAAGTGAAATTACTTACATATGTGTGCAATACTTTGTAATCGTTTCTTCGTTATTTATCATGGACTTAAAATTAATATAAATGATTAATTAATAAAATTATACATACAAATAATATAGAACATTTAAAGTAGACAATGAAGTATCTCAAAATATACGAACCACAAATACGTATTTCTCTAAAATTGTGAAGGATTTAAAGCAAAAATGAGATTATCGAATTTATTGTATTCAATGACATTTTGATGAACTATACTATTATTATATTCTTTTTATTTTATAAATAGATTTTCTGTTTCATTTACATATGTTATATGACAACAATGCATCTTAAATTAAGTGTGTTATATACATATATTAAATAAGATACAAATTTTTAGGATTATCGATATAAAAATCATATAACAATTAAACACAATTAAATGTGTAAAACTGCAAATTGATAATTATGAGTCAAAAGTATGTTTAAAATATATATTTAAATATATTTGAAATATATACAATATTCTAATACTTACAAATAATTTGTTTGTATTTATAGTTTGCATTATTAACGAATACACAACGTTTGCTTAATCATTTCGAAATTATGATAACAATATAAAAGTCATATGGTACAATTATTTTAGCATCGAATAAAGAATGGTGAAAATTAAAGACTGAAGCTTATAAAGAATCAAAAATCAAAACGTACGATTGATGAACAATTACAAATATTGCAAATATAGGTAAATTTCTTTAGATTTAAAGATTGACATTTAATTTAAATGATATTTGCTTGCTCTGTATTACAGCTATCCAGATCGTTGAATTCAATTAATGTAAGTTGTGTAGTTGAAAATTGTGTAGAGAGATTTAGATATAAAGCACATTGTCATGCCTTAGACCGCCGCTAAAGAATCCAAAATTCCGCAGGACGTCGCGTCGAGAAAGAAAACGATGAAAACGACGGTTGCAGGACCATTACACTCATCAGTAGGACTGATAGCGGCAAACGTTTGGATAGGGAATTTATAGATATGGAATAAGACATACTGCGGAGATGCAACACTAGATAGAGTCATGTTCATTGTATTTCGTTTATGTAAATAATACTTTGCAACTTATAAAATTCTAACATAATTTACATTTGCATCTTGTCAGACAACTAAAAAACGGTGAACGTAGAGGAGGGGAAATAGTTGCATAATCATGGAGTTTGCTCTCAAAGTTTCCTCTCAGAGCCACCAGTCAGACTCATCATCAGTAGGAGTGGGCTGATGGTGGGAAAGACTTTTACTCCAGACGTTTGGGTAAGAAATTCAAAAACGAGCGGTCACCATTTTAGAGAATGGGTTGCAAACTGTGCTGATGAACATTTTTAACGACACTGTTGATTCATCGGTGATCTTCTACAGCCACTGCAGTCGTTGGAGATTGAAGTTATGAAATCACAAACCTAGTTTGTGCTTGCATTTATTGAATAACGCGCACTACGGGGACGCGGCACCAGATGGAGCCATTATCTCGCATCATGGCAACCGGTCGCAGAGAGAGACATTGGAATTGGAATTGGAATGAGATAGTGGAATTAGTACGCGCAAGACCCGCAGTAACGTTGGAAGCTAAGACGTCGAAGAGACGTCACACATTTAGATAAGAAGAAAATGTTTTCATCAAGTCTTCGTGAATTTGTGAGCCGTCATAGACGAAAGTTTATAGTGGGCGGCATTATTGTTAGTACTATTGTTTTTATTAGATATACAGCACGTAGGCTTCGAGAATGGCAAGAAAAAGAAATAAAGGATATGCTGGACAAATCTAAACGACGGCAATATTTTGATTGCAATGAAAGAACTTGCAGTCAAATGATAATGTCTCTTATAGCAACTTTAAGAGATTCTATAATAAAAGTTGTGGATACTGAAGCTGTTGTGAACAAACTTAGAAGTGGTTGTCCCGATAAGATAGCATGTTGGAATGAGTTGAAAGTTTTAGCAATTACTAGATCTGCTGTGGTAGTGTATTCATATGCGATGTTAGCAACGTTAATAAGAATTCAATTTAATATAATGGGTGGTCATGTATACAAAGATATTCAAAATTCCAATGGTACAGCTACAGAGAATGTCATACAAACAAAATACATGTCAATTTCACGTCACTTTATATATGAAGAAATTAAAAAATTGACTTTACTCATAAAAAGTAAAGTGGCAGAAATAACAGCATCAATGTCTTTGAAAGATGAATTAACTTTAAAAGATATAGAAGAAATATACTGGGCCTTAACATCTTCTATATCTGCAGATAGTTCAAAAGACCCTGTAAAAAATCTTGCCCAATATATGTTATTATCAAATTGTGAGGAAGAAAAAACACCTGTATTATTAAAATTATTCAATGAGACATTGGATTTGCTAGAAAGTGAAGAAGTACAAAATTTGACACAAAGTAATATTAGAAGCGGATTTAGCTTATTAGTGGACCATATTTCTGCATTCTTTGTTATTTCCCCTGTAATAGAAAATGGTAAATCTATTGAAAATGGTATATCAGTGCCAGGAACGTCAAATCAGACAAGCATAAACACAAAATACAATTCAAGTGCATTTATAAATATTAATAAGGTATCTATGCCAATGGCTAAAATAATACCTATTATAAATGGACAAGTACCAGATAAAGCAACATCAAAAGATTTTCAAAGTGATTTATTACAGCGTCTTATAATAAATGATGAACTTAAGACACTTGGAGCAAATATTTATGAAGCATTTAGTTTTTAAAGATAGATAGATAAACATTTTATTTTGGTCTGATAGCTTTGGTTTACAATTCTTTACAATAATATATAATAAAATACTATATAATAAAATATACATTTTAGCTTATTTACTAAAATACTATCTGCTATCCTCTTTGAATTCTGTCTTTATAATTTTCTCTTTACTTACATTAGCCTATTTTAGAGTATTGCACCTCTTTCTTTCTTCTCTTTTGCTCCTTTCTTTAAAATATCTTCCATTTGTTCTAGAATATCTGTTAACTCTGTTTTGTTTATTTTTCTGCAATTTTTACTTAAATGTTCTAGGTAATATTTCTCTGTAATACATAGTCCACATTTTCTTTTTTCTTCTCTCAGTTAGAATTTATTTTCTTTTTTTACACTCTTGCCCTTATTAATATTCTTTGTCTGCCTTCCATTAATTCTGATTTTCTTGTATTTTGTTCCATTGTTTTTATTTTTGTACTTTTCTCAATTTTCCTTATGACTTTCTTTCCTTTTTCTTAGTTGGTCAATTCTTTTCTGACTATATCCATGTTTCTTGAAATAATCTATTCTTTCCTATCATTCCGTTCTTGAACCTATCATTATTTCTTTCTTCCACCTTTCTTTTAAACACTCCTTCACTATGCGTCTCATTTTTTTATTCTTCTGTTCTTATTTTTCTTTCATAATCCTTTTGCCATTTTTATTTTTAATTTTTTTTTTTTATTTCGTCTTGCTCTATGTAATCAGGCATAACATAATTCATTTTATATATTTTTTTTGTGTTCTTTCTAATTCTATACTTTTTGACCATTCCCATATCCATTAGTTTTTTCAAATTTAATAATTAAAATATTTAAATACTGTATATAGAGCATTATATGAGTTATGAAATCATTATATAATAAATAAAATATATAATAATAATAAATTTTTATTTCAAATACATTTTTGTTTCAAATAAAAATATATAATCATTTATAAACATAGTAAAAAATTATTATATAAAGGATATCCAGCAACTAGTGGTACAAGTTAGTTGAAGTTGATTCTATGTGGAAAGATAAGTCGAAATGAAAATAAAATTTGTTCATTTAAGTCTTCGTTTCTGAGAAAATCAACCTTGAAGATCTGCAAACATATTGATTATTCATCAAGTAAACAAAATTCACTAGAGATTGTACTTTTGAAAACCAGTTATATTGCCTAACTTAACTTGTGATATTTGCAAACGTCAGCATTATCATTTTGTCTATTGTTCTTATTTTGCTTTTATATATTCATCCAATACAGCTCCTATTGTTAATTTTTATTGTATTGCAAATATAATTACATACAAAATTACTATCTACTACTTATTCTTAGAATTATTTTTTTTCTTGTTTCATTTTTTTTTTTGTCATCAACTATTTTTTTTAAACACACGAAAATGAACATTTACATTTAAATGTCATTTAACTTTTTTTAAACTAATACTTTATTAATATTTAATTCTAGCAAGAATAAAAGAAAAGTTTAAAAGTTTACATTTAAGTTTATAAATATTGCATGTAAAAATTATACACATATGTACATATAAATTTACGCTTAAAATTTAGAACAATGCGCGCGCGCGCAATTGATTCAGCTGTCAATTTTTTATTAGTGCACCGCTTTCCTTCATGCGGTGCAGATGTATGTAACTAAAAGTGGCTAAAATCAAAAATTTTTTTAATTTTAATATTTTCTATATCATAATCAATTAGAAAGATGTGGAAATTAGTAGCTCGCGGTATTCGTGAAACTTTGGAACGCCGTACATGTCGTACAAACGTTTATTATCAAACGTCTCAAGAACCTAGTACAAAAAATGAGGTTAAGACTAGTTTAACATGTAATCATAAGTTCTTACCACCAACTTTCTCTGTTTTTAATAAAGAATTCTTTGATTCGACGAAAACAAGTGGTACGAAGGACAAAGATCATGATTCCAAATGGAATACAAAATATACTTGGTCAGAAGCCATAGGATTGGTAAATTGCGCTGTTATTTTTATCTTTTTTATTTGTTATCTTTTCATGTAATATTTAACTTGAACCTTTTTCAAATTACGTACGTAAAATTTTACTTGTTTCCTTTCTTTTTTCCTTTTACTGCGTATTTGTCTTTCACAGAAATTAAAATTTCAATTTGAGTTATATCAGTTCTATTTATGTTAATAGTGTTATTAACATATTTATGTTAATAGTATTAATTAATTGAAATTTTTAGAGAAAATAATGTGATAATTTTGTAAATAATGTGATAATTTTTTTTGATAGACAAGTGCATTGGCTCTTGGATGGGTGGTATGCCAAACATTATGTCTTCGCAGATTTTTTGAGAAAGAGAAAACTGATTCCTTAAAAAACAAATTATTACAAGTTCCACATACTTCTTACTTAATTGATCAAGTACGAAATTTAAGGCCAAAACATATTTTACCTATTATTAATTGTATTGGTAATAATAAAATATATGCCCAAGAAAACGATGAAGCAGAATGGAAATCAGAAAAACCATTTGGACCTATTACCATTGAAGAGGTGACAATGTTATTTTGTAGACATTATAATTTATAAAAAAAAAGTTTATAATACAAAAAATAGCTTTTTACATCAGTAATTAAAAACATATTGTATCATATCTTATAATATTCTATATATCTAATTCATTTTATAATAAAACTTTAATTAATTATTTATCAATTTTTAATTGATTATTATTTTGATTATCTTATAGTATTAAATATGTTTCATTACATTTCATTAGTAAGTTTACTAATAATTTCATTATAATTACTTTGAACATTAATAATAGTGATTTAATAAATAATTTTTTATTTTAAGTATTTAATTGTAAATCACTACTTAATAAATATTTAATAAATATGTTATGTAAAGTTATAAAAAAAAACAAATGATATAAGGATTAAAAAATTTTTTATTGCATCTCCTCTCCAAAATAAATTTTTTGGTATTGAAGTTTATTGTAAAGACAAATAAACTGTTATAAAATTTATTTGCTATAATTATAATTTTATTTTAATTTTATGCAGATGAATATTATTAAAACATCCAAAAATAAAATATTATTTTGATCAATTAAGAACTAACTATACTTAATTATTTTTAATTTGATTGTAAGAATATTTAAAATTAAAAAACAATTTTTTACTATAGATAATTTAAAAAAAAAATTAATATGTATTAATATACACGATGTATATTCTCAGGCATTAAAAGAAGCTACCGAGGAATTTGCCAAAACCCATAAATTAACTGTAGCTGAATTTGAACTTCAGTATGGCTTGAAAGCTTTAGAAGAGAAACGTTATAAGGATGCTATAAAACATTTTACTGTTGGTGCAAGTCTATCATCCGCTGCTAGTATGTTCAATTTAGGTCTGTGTCATGAATTAGGACTTGGAACATTAGTTGATCACAGACAGGTATGATATGTTAACAATACATATATTTTATTACGAAAATTTGCTTCTGTATTACATAAGAAATAAAACATTCTACTTTTTATTAAAGTTCATAATTCTTTTTCTAGGCTGCAAAATATTATAACGATGCAGCAAAACAAGGTCATGCAGATGCCACATATAATTTGGGAGTTTTTTATGCTCAAGGTAGAGGTGGTTTTACAGTAGACATTGATAGAGCTCGTAATTATTTTATTAAAGCAGCAAAGTTAGGACAAAGCCAAGCTCAGCAAGCATTAGAATTAGAGAAACATTATCAAGTTAAACAAAAAAAAATTGATACAATTCTTCCGGATGAACGTAAAGGTATTTTACAGTATATGCGAAATGAGAATATGAATCATATTCTGAAAAAGTTGATTAATTACAATAATGTATCATACACACAATTGGAAACAGAATTTTTGGAAGATCATAAAGAATGCATTGTAAAATGTAAAAATACTGTAGAAATAGTTTTAAATATGTTTGGGTTAGGTAAATCAAATATATTACCTGTTTCCGTGGAAGCAAATAATTGTAGTGTGTCGTGTTAAAGTGTAGCAAAATTATTAAAAGTGAAAACGTAAAACTGTTAAAGTGAAATATTATATTTCTTGTACATGAGATATACAATAGAACTTTTTATAATGTTTACGTCAATTATATTATAAATTATTAAGATAAAAATTAAAAATTCAAATTATAAATATGACGGGATCTATTTAGAATATAAAATATAGAATATAGAGTCTATTTAGAATATAAAGTATTTTTACAAAAATATTTATTTCATATAATATCTCCTTTAAAATTATTTTAAAACATTCATAAAATAAAATTTATGATTTTACAGTATCATAATACATATAAAATATTTTAATTATACAATACATATTTTATGTGTACAATTAAAAAAAAGCTTTCTTGTATTACTTCTTTGTATTATATCAATTCACATTATATTTATGAGCAAGTATCTTCTTTTAATTTTAAATTAATATGAAGATTTTTAAATAGTAATTCAAATTCATTATTCAGAATTTAAAAAATTATGTTATCTGTGATGAATATATACATTTTATATCATTATACATGCATTGTATTTAGAATACATTATCAATTAATTCAAGGACACAGACACAATTGACATAATAAATATAAACTTGTGATAATTACCATTATTTTCATTTTGTAATATATAATTTCATTCTTATTCTATAAAGTGACGTGTACAAATTCATGTTTTTCTATATGTGTTTAAACAAATGTGTTTAATTATTTTTTGATGTTCAATAAAAAAATAAAAACAATCATACATGTTTTATTCATTAAGATTTTAGACCTTTAGATTTAACCTCACCAATGTGCATCATGTTTTTCTACTGTTTTTTTAATAAACTCACTATGATTAGCATATAAATTTAGATTTCTATCAATATCCATCCATTTCACATTGCGTGCATCATCACCAGCTACTAACTTTATATTTCCAACAACACTGTTATTCTCATCATGAAAATTTAAAGCTACAGTTTCCATCCAAGCATTGTCTGTATTTCGAGGATCGTCTACATATCCTTTGTAAATTTCTTTTCCTTGTTTAAAAAATTCCTTCATAGATTTTTCCAATTCTTCTTTTTCAGCTTTATTCTTTTTCATAGAATTCATAGCTTCTTCCATGAATTCTCTTTTTAAAGTTGCTGAGACTGTTTCATCTGGGTCGACCATTCCACCAGGAATAGCCCATTCTCCAGAATCTTGCCTTTGTATAGCAACAAATTGTAAAATTGGCTTTCTTGTATCTTTATTTATTTCTGCAACACCTGTAATATCTTGTTTCCAACGAGTTACAATTGGATCTGCTGCATGATTTGGTCCCCATCGTCCTAAAAGTCCACGTCCAATGATACCAGTACGACCAATGGGGTTCAAAGGATAACCATTCTTATTTATAACATAGTCACTTGTAAAACTCCTACGATTCACGTTTCCTGTTAGCAACAAATTAATATATGCTTAAAAATATTACAATATATGTTATTCAAACTATGTTATATAATGCTAATGTAGTAGTTTCAATGAATCTTAAGCATTCTGAATTTACAAAATTTCATGGAAAATAATATTTTACAGACAATGTTGTTTACCATCAATGGCGTTCCAATTTGGTTTAAATGAAATTTCACCGATATCCGGATCGGCCCATGGTTTTCCTTTAATGTTCGAAGCGGTATATTCAATTGGTTTATATTCTGAATATTCAATGTCCCATGCTATTTTATTTTCAGGTACTTCGAAACGTTTTACGTTGCTAGATGGATAAAAGCCTTGTCTGCATTTGTAATGAATCATTCTAATAAATACCATTCGCATAAGTTAAAAGAATTTGTAGGCTTGATTATAAAGTTAAATATTTAATGAGTTAAATATTGAATACATTCACGATTATTATGCTTGCTATAACATCTGCAAAATAAAAAGCTTGTCTTTGATCAGTATGTCCGGTTTAAAAAAGCATGTATATTATTATTGCTTTACGTACTAAATGTTTATAAAATTATAATTGTAAAATTTTCCTTGGATTTCATGTATTTTGTTACATGCAATGATAAACTAAATGAATGTGGTATGAATGTAAAATGAATGTAAATAGTGCTTAAGTTCATTGCATGATAGAAATAATTATTAATAATTAATCGATTACATAAAGAATATATTATATGTCAAATTTATTATACACACTTCTAACTACATTTAAAAACAATTTTGATCCAAATTTTTAATATAATTTGTAAGAAATTAAATATTATTAAATCGAGTGCTTCGATGTATTGAATGGAATTTTTGAATTTTTATAAGCATTTGATACTTTAAATGAAATATAAAAAGAAAGTTAAAAATCTCATTAGGAGAAATCATAAACATTCACGAATTAATCTTTTTAAATTTTTTTTTTTGAAATGAAAATCAGGCTGCTTTACGGAATTAGAAACACTAGTGTCATATTATTGTAAAATGATTGAACTACTAGGTTTTCATTTTGGATTTAGTGGCACCATCTGTCAGTAACTTAGTAGTACCACAAACAAAGTACATGAGTGGACATCGCAATCATTGACTAATTAATCATTGACTGATTACGATAGACCTGACATCAAATGGGGTTGTGTCTCAGGGTTTGAACTACTGACTAGGAAAAAAATCACTAGCTTTTTAGTGTCTTCTACGATTAAACAACGGTGAATTAGAGAAATACTTTAAACAAAATGAAACAAGGAAAATAATGGTTTAAGAAAATATCCATTACAGTGTTGTCAATTGTACATCTTCAGCACAGATATAAGTACACATACCTCATCTATGCCTCCAGATTCCGACAGAAATCAGTATCTAAGACTATTCTGTTTTGTATAATGTATCTATGTATATATCACAAAGATCTCTATCTGTGTTTTAATATTAATATACATTATATAATTATTTATATATATTTCATGTACATAATTATTTATACTTCATTGTTATTAAAAATAATTTTTAAACTAATTATATTACTTCCTAAAATTAGTTTCGCAACTAGTGATTGATTACTGTATATTACACTATCTAGTTTTCCTCTAGCCGCTTTCCTATTGGCTGATGTAAGTATCAGTAGATGGCAGGCACTTACATTCTCTTGTAGCGACATCTATTTAATCT